ACTTGTTAGTGTTGATGAAAAAATAAATGGTAATTAAAGTTATTCTAAATACGGTCCGGTCCGGTAGCTCAAATTTTACAGTACGAGTGATATGTTTCAGGACGAGTAGGTAGCCGAGTCTTTAATTTCGAAACGAGTACTGCGAAAAGAGTTACCGGACGTATGTTGTTATGTATTTTATTTCATACTGTCAACATACTTTTTTATTCGATAATATTATTATTATTTTGAGAAAAAATCCAAATCGAGTCACTTTTTCTGACATCGTTAGCAACCGCTCTTTGGTAAATGTTTTAATTTGTTTATTCGTGCAAATCAGCATCATATGTTTAAACACATAGTACTTATAACACTTTACAGGACTTATTGTTTTGTATAATCCGACTCGATGGACGAATGTTTTGTGCAATCCGTCTCGAAGGAGCAATGTTTGTGCAACTCGGCTCCTCCTACCAGTATTTTTTGTAATCTGGTTGATACGACAATGTGATACCGAATTGTACTTTGATATTGCTCCAAGGACCTTTGTTTTCTTGCGTGCGAGATAATAGACAGCGTTCGGTTTCGATGTTTAATACAGGACGGTTACAGAAATACTAAATTTACATTTGTATTTACAATAACAGGTAAAGCAAAAGAGACCCAAAAGGGTCAGTGGCCGCTTCCGGAAATGGAACACTTGTCCTTTTTGGCTCAATTTTATCGCACTTGTCCGTTTTTTTGATTTTACCGGAATCGTTCGATCCAGTAAAACGTCAAACTTGACATAGTATAAAGTAAAATAAATAAATTTTATTCAATTTTGACATGTAAACAAACGTTTATTTTGCCGTCAGTAGGCCACTAAAGCTTTGGTTTATCCGGTAGCACCATAAAATTTTTAAACCGCTGTCAATTCTGACGTTTCTCGAATGTGAACTTTGAATCACCAATTTTTTCACAATTTGGGACTTGGGGTTGTCAAAATTGAATAAAAGTTTGTATTACACTCGCGCTTAAAATGAATGTGTAACTCGTGGTCTTAAGGCGCTCGCGGCATACGCCGCTCTCGCCTTAAACTGGCCGCTCATTAAACATTCACTTTAACCGCTTGTATAATAAATAACTATTATGATGTAAATACAATTGAGTATATCGATAATTCGCTACTGAAAATTTATTGAAATATAATTTGTGTTAAAAAAAGATTTTTGTGGTTTTATGGTTTATTAACATAATTTACTTATTTGAAATTAAATATTTTTAATACATAGCACAAGTTCTTGATATTCTTTATTTTTATTCCAAGTAATAATTGTGTTTCCTTTAGTTTTAATCAAGAAAATTTTTCGGTTATTATCTAACATACTTTTGTACATTAAGAAACTCCATTCCACGTCACAGGACGTTACAGGACAATATTTAAATAAATAAAGAAGTCGTTTTATGTGTTTTAAAATTCACTCTTCGGACTTTAGACTTTTTGGTGTTTCACTTCGGCACAAGAACTAGTCGTATCTCAAAGAAAACAAACAGTGGAATATACCGTATTGTACCTATATTTCATAGTAAAAATGTCTAAATTTTTTTATGAAGAGACAGACTGTTCTAGGAAACTTTACTAAATCTTTTCATTTACGAGCTATTGAAAGTCCGCCGGTCTCACTGATACTTCTTACTTGGCTCCTACGAATGAAGCGAAAAATGCACAGATTGAAAATATAGTAAATGGGGTAGTATGTATGCGTGATATGTCGTTAGACATTAGGTATTTTGCAAATAAAATTTATTTCATTGAAAACAGAAACAATAAAAAACATATCTGTACAAGTTTGGAATCGATATGGCCAGTTGTTTAGAATATGCAAATATGCTTTTGTTCGTATTTACAATTATTACGAAACAGGTTATCAAATAATCTATTTTCACATGGCGAGACTTCAAGCGGCCGAAGAATTAAAAACCATAAATTTTCATTGAAGAAACAAACTCTTCCAAGAAAATGACCAAATCTTTTAGTTTACGCACTATTGGACGAGCACTCCTTAAAACGGTCAGTATACCTAATCGCATTATTCCATTGATACCTACCTACCGAAAACGTTGCCAGATGAGCCTAACACAAATTTGCGGAATTTCTCGTCAACCAGATATTATTTCATTTAGAAGTTTCTGGTAAATAAATGGGATTATTGTAATGAACACATAAAACAAATAAATTGTGATTATTATTTGTTGTTTTAACCCATTAGACGCTTATAGGCTTATAAGCATACTTTTCTTGAAAAATCTGTAATAAATTCAGTGAAACATCTTTGTGCCTTAATTCCTATTGGTAAACTGGGATTTTGAATAGAGGTCGCAGGAAAATTTTGTATGGTTTTATGGTTTATTTACATAATTTTCTTATTTACAATGAATGTTTTTGATATATAATACAAGTTCTTGATATTATTTATTTTAATTACATTTAATAAACCATAAAACCACAAAAATCTTTTTTTAACACAAATTATATTTCAATAAATTTTCAGTAGCGAATTATTATCGATACACTTAATTGTATTTACATCATAAAATTTATTTATTTTACTTCATACTATGTCAAGTTTGACGTTTTACTGGATCGAACTATTCCGGTAAAGTAAAAAAAACGGACAAGTCCGATAAAATTGAGCCAAAAACACGGAGGTAGAAGACACTCTTCTACCTCCGTGGCCAAAAAGGACAAGTCTTCCATTTCCGGAAGCGGCCACTGACCCTTTTGGGTCTCTTTTGCTTTACCTGTTATTGTAAATACAAATGTAAATTTAGTACTTCTGTAACCGTCCTGTATTAAACATCGAAACCGAACGCTGTCTATTATCTCGCACGCAAGAAAACAAAGGTCCTTGGAGCAATATCAAAGTACAATTCGGTATCACATTGTCGTATCAACCAGATTACAAAAAATACTGGTAGGACGAGCCGAGTTGCACAAACATTGGTCCTTCGAGACGGATTGCACAAAACATTCGTCCATCGAGTCGGATTATACAAAACAATAAGTCCTGTAAAGTGTTATAAGTACTATGTGTTTAAACATATGATGCTGATTTGCACGAATAAACAAATTAAAACATTTACCAAAGAGCGGTTGCTAACGATGTCAGAAAAAGTGACTCGATTTGGATTTTTTCTCAAAATAATAATAATATTATCGAATAAAAAAGTATGTTGACAGTATGAAATAAAATACATAACAACATACGTCCGGTAACTCTTTTCGCAGTACTCGTTTCGAAATTAAAGACTCGGCTACCTACTCGTCCTGAAACATATCACTCGTACTGTAAAATTTGAGCTACCGGACCGGACCGTATTTAGAATAACTTTAATTACCATTTATGTTTTCATCAACACTAACAAATATTTAAAATAACAAGTAATAATTTGTTTGTATTGTTTATTCATTATAATAATTCCATTTATTCACCAGAAACTTTTAAACGAAATAAAATCTAATCGACTAGAAATAACGGCAAAGTTGTGCTAGGTTCATCTGGCAACGTTGCAAATTATATAAATGGTTACTATGAGATTTTTACACATTGTTTTCGTCGCCCTCTGTCGTGTGGTAGCTTTATTAAATGTATTGTTGCTGCGATTTGGGTTATCTACGCGCGCGATTGGTGTCCAAGCTTTTCGCCGGCGTTTGACGGCCGACTGTTGGTGCGCCATCTCTTGTTCGCCGGCCGTTGGCCTGTTCGCTCCAAACAATAGCATGGGTCTATCTATATGTATTTAGTCAATGGCCCCGCTCTTCTGCTAAACAATAAAACTGACAACAGGGCTATAAAATTGAATTAACTTTGGCAGTCCATAAAATTCTTATAATTCTAGACAAACTTTAACTTTTGTATCCGCAACTGATTCAGGTGAGTTCTACAATCAACTCCCAGTTCTCTTGTCACGCCACTGAATTCATTGCCACATAACCTTAAACAAATCTGCCATAAGGTTGACAAACTTCACGACAAAAACAGGGAGTACCAACTCTCTCAATCAATTTTGATGACTCTGTATACTTTTTTCTGTAAATTAACAAATATTTATTTTGTTATTTAGAACAAACAACTTTGTTGATATCTTTTATGGTACAGTAGTTGGCTCCAGAAAAAACAGGAACGGAAATTGTGTACAATGTAAAATGTACCGATCACTTGTCAATTTTACAAATCTGTTAAATATTTGTCATTATTTTGAAACAAAATGTTTGCAATGTCATTACTGTTTTAACCTATTTCAAAATAGTCCCGTTTAAACTAGGAAAATTCACACAGTGATCTGTCATAATAACTTTGACAGTTTCCGTTTTTTCTGGAGCCAACTGTACTGTTTTACGTTTATATTTTAGGCTGCCGTAGTCACCATAGAATTGGTAATATTATTACAGAAATTTATAAAAATAAATTTGTTTGATTAATTTCAATTTAATTTGAAATTTTCAAAATTTCTGTTCTTTCTAACAAGTACTAACATATTTAAAATAATTAACACAAACCGTTTTTTATTCACCAACATCTCTAAATATGACACTATTCTGACATCTTTGACACCACTTAAGAGACCACTCATAAGTTACAAAAAGAAATATTCAAAAAGTCATCTACTTTGGAACAGAAATTTTCCTGCTGTCGTGAAAATCTTAGTGTAATCTGAGGATATAAACCACGATTTTCCAGAAGCATTTCGAGGTCATAATGTTGAGTATCTGAGAAATATAGCACTATTATTTTGACATTTTTGACACAAATTAATATAGCACGAGTCTACAAAAAAGCACTGTATATTCAAAAGATGTCCACCTTTGGAATCATTCATTTGTGATTGGCTTTAATGAAGATGCTTAATCTAAATAAAATTTTATACTTTGTTTCGTTCATTTTTCAACTTAATTTTAACTCCATCGCCCGAGCGCTCTAGGGTACGCCACTGCTCCCACAGTGCGTTGAGTTGGCGATTGGCACACCTGATGTCACCGTATTTTGACGTTTGACGTTTGTCAAAATAAACATCTCGCCGAAATATCCTCGAATAGTTATTTTTAACCATTTTGCCCCCAGTTGTACATTTTGTTCACCATGGATTAACCGACACACTTAATTATTATGCTTTAATAGTATTGATTAGTGCAAGGTGAGCATTATTAATTGGCGCAAAATCAACCTTCTTCCTGTTATTTTAGGTAATTCCAACACCATGCCAAGGTCGTTTCTAACATCAGCTTTTCAAAGACTAAACCCCAAAGACGATGACCGCAATTTGATCTCGGCAACATTCCATATGATAACAATAACTTTAATTAGTATGAGCCTTGTGGACTTGACCTGGTTTACCATGACAGGAGACGTCGCTGTACCTAATCTCAGCTTGGGGCAGTTTTTTTGGTTTGGGTATGCAGGGGCTGATATTAATTACGCAGGTAACGTGAAAATTGTCTGAGGAACATGATTTGGATTGTGTTTTGTAGATTACGACTTTATTAATTCAACTATTGTAAATATGATGAGGACAACAATTCTTCTGTGTTTTATGGCAATCATTTTTAGTCTGGCTGGGTTTTTCCTTGATATTGTTGGTCCAAAAAGTATTTTATATAGAATGATAAGAAAGTATGCAGTACCTGGGACATGCACAGGTATACTTTTGTCTTAGTATTATTTTTTTTTTTTTTAATTAAACGTTTTAGTATTGTGGATAATGGCGATCGTCAGCGTATCATATTACATAGTATTGTTATTAGAGGATTCGCTCGCCAAGTTATACTCTCAAACCAATATTACAGTTTCATATGGTTATGGGTTTTATCTGTTGGCTTCAGCTGGTGGAATTGCGTTGGTTGGAATATTTTATAATTTGATACTAGCGCATCATCCTGTTGGGTATTATAGGGATGACGATAGGTGCTTGATTGGGTTTGATGATGGCTTAGATACTTTCAATAGTCCCACACCACCGCCGCCTTATAACGTCCCTCCTCCTCCTTATACCCCTTGATATCTGATTGTCCAACTCTACAATAAAGTACCATAACTATATACCATTAGAACCTATATTTTGCTAAACTTTATGTGATAGATTATAATTCTAGTCTGCTTAATTAAGATGGTACATCGTCACCAAAGAGAATATATTTTTGTTTATGACCTGTGAAAGTCCATAGGAATTTTTCTGTAGAAACTTGTTTTGTTTAATTTCTCAAAGAAACGTAATTTTCAGTCAAATTTCAGATATGCTGTATGTTAAGCAAAAATAGCATTACTTCAGTATACAGGGTGTAACTCCATCAGATATGTATTATTTTTATCAAATTAATGTAGGTTTCATGTTGATGCAAATTATTTGCTTCATGAATGTATCCATCAATATATTTTTCACAAACTTTAAATTAATTAATTTTCTGATTTCACCTTCCTCAAAAAAACCTTAAAATTTTCTGAATGTTTATTGACTTAACAAGTTAATATTCACATCAGTTTTAAAAGGGTGTAATAGATTAAAAAATATTTTCATTAAAGCCTCACAAAAATAAAATAATTTAAAAATAACAACTATAGGTAACATAAACACCAAATTTGAATTTGCTACATGTTTCCAACCACAATTTTGAACACAATTACATTGTTTTTTTTTGTAAATATTAATACTTATCGGTCACGAGAGAAATCAACAGAACGTCAGCAAATTCTGGTGGTTTCTCAGTTTTAAGGACCAATATAAAGGCTTTCCCTTGTAGGGATGCATAACAATTTTTTCCTGAAGCACAGTTCATGCAATTCAGTTATTTGTACCATTTAGGTTCAGGTTATTAGTGTTCTTTATTAAGCTCGAAAAGTCAAAATTGGGCATTTCTAATGGAGCTAAAGATGGAAGACCTCGAATCTCATGGACTTCAGGACTCAACTCACTACATGGTGAAAACACATATGGAGAAGTACCCCCAGAGGAGTCAGTAATCACTTTCAAAGTATTACTAGTCTTGGCGCCATCTAAAAACCTTTTTTAGAAAACACATCTACAATTAAAAATCACTTTACCTTTATTCTTCTCACATTCCAACTTATAAACCGTGGCTTTTAATCGCGCAATTTCGTTTTCTCTCTCTTCCAGTTGAACTACAAGCGCTTGTACCAACTCTCGTAACTTTTCACTCAACCCTCTAAACTCTTCCAGATGTGTCATTACATCAACTTGTCGTTTTTTCCCAGAAATGTTTAGGCCATCACAAGTATCACTAGTGGTAGTTTTCTCCTCGTCAGTTACGTACGTCGCCATGTATTCATCATCACAGTTCCTCTTAATAAGAACTTCAATCAGAGAGTCATGTGTTTCCATCGTTCTATAAATTTCTTGCTGAAGCGTCTCCCCACTCTCACACTCAAAATTTACAACCCTGTTTTTCACCGATTCCTGATACCGACGCAAATCTTCAAACTGCGTTTTCTTTATTTTTAACGAATCGACGAGCTTTTGGTGACTGTCTATCTGAAGCTGGAGTGATTCTCTCGACCGTGCGTTGTCTGTTAACTGTAGCGAATCGTGCAAATATCGCATAGCGTCTTTGTGGCATTCCATGCTTTCGTCGAATTTTTTCTGTTTTAAGAGAGCTTCGGCCCGTCTGTCCAACTGGTGAGCCTACAACATGTAAACAAAAACAAGAGGTCATGACCTAATTTTACGCAGGATGGAATATCGGTGTGATAAAGTTACCTTATTTAATGGAGAATTTTCCATTGTAGTTGACGAACTTGGCTAACAACTAAATTTGTCATAAAAATATAAATAAAAGCAAAAATGTTGTTGCACTGCTATAAAAATAACTGTCAATGATCTGTCATATCACGTGAGCGCTGATTGGCGGTTGGGATGAAGAGGAAAACATAACCTATGATAAGTTTTATTTATAAACAATATTTTCGTAATATGTAAATTTTTTGTTTTATTTAGATTTTGGTGATACCTACAATTAGTGAATACAATTTCATTTACAATGAATATTATGGAAATACGTTTAATGTTGCTTGGTGTCATTTTGTACAGCTAGCAGTGGTCAGTGGTTCTAAAACGGTTTCTCTGAAACAAAATTAAACCAGTAGACCACAATAAAATGCCAAACTGGACTCACTCAACTCACCTGACATATAAAACTTGTCATTTGAATGAATTTTCTTCACTTGTGTTAATACCACCTACATATTTAGTGGTCCAAAACCCAAAAATCTGATCCCTCCATAAAATTCTGGATATAAAATCGCGATCTTTTCTATAGAACCACTCCCTAGTGTAAATTTTCAAAATTTGTTTGGTGTATGTGACCTTGACGGGTTTCTGGGGGAAAACATATGTGTCAAAAATTTGACAGGTTAGATGGCCCAATGTAGATATTTTATTTTAATAAATAGATGAACAGAACATACAGTCTGCACGGGATACAGTGCGGCATAGCTGAGGGCAACCAAAACATTCGTGTTGTGCAAGGTTAGTTAATAGAGAACAGGTTACCACATAAACGAGTATGTGGGCAAAATCGCTTACGGGGGAGGAGAGGTGTCAGCCCCATGTGACGTCAAAATGAGGTTGGTATTATTTGGGAATTTTTAGTAACTTGTAATTTTGAGTTGGTGTGACCGATTAGCTGATGCCTTTAATCTGTACGATCTGTACCGCTAATTCTGACGTTTGGTGTTGGTACTGCGACTCGTGTAACCCTATTTTGCCTTAAATTAAATTTATTTGTGTTTAAGCTAAAATGAAATGTTTTGATATATTACTAGAAAGGAAAAAGTAAACCAGTAAATGATCTGAAAAAAGATTTTCAGATTTTTTTGCATTAAAAAATCAGTTAATAGCGTCGCATTTGTTATTTTCAAGTTCTACTGGCAGCAAAACATTTTTCTTAAGGTTTATTAAATTGTTCTTTACACAGGATTGAAATTTGCGAAGTAGAAGCGGTCACTTGATTAAAAGTTTCCGTTTTTAGTGCGTTACTCGAGTATTTAAAACGGGCAATTTTCGCGCCATTTGAGAGCCCCTTGTGACGTATCAATATGGCATCCCAATGTGGCAACCTTATCTATTAAATGACTGCGTGTTGTGCAGAGATTTCTTAGTAACCTAGATACGGCCATGGGCAGCAAAGTGTGGAAAAACATGTATGAAAATAGTGTCGACATACTTTCAGTTCTCTGTCTTTCTCTTACTCGTTGTAATGTGCACTACATGCTAGTGTTATCATCGTCTAATTCTAGCGACTGTTAACATTGGTTGATAATTTGGCGCACTGATTTAAAATGGTATAAAAGAGAATCATAACTCGAGTTTTTTAACAAGTGGCAAACGAAAAGTTTCTAAGCAATCTCCAAAATGATTTGTAATGTTAAGATTAAAATATTACACGGACAAGATCGTTGGAATAAATTTGACTGTCGACTTCCCTTTTTTCGTACTTTTTCTTTATCATTCACACCGGCGAAACTCTTGAAAAATGACATAATACAATTTTCTTATAGGCAAAAGTTTTTGTTGCCACGAACGTTTCTAACATAAATAGAGAATCGTATTGTATTTATTTGCATGCACAATGTTGAGAGCTTAAAACGAAAAAGAAAAAAGACGTACAGCTGTGGTATAAATTTATTAACATTATTATTAAATATTGGTGATTTAATGTAATCTTAGTTACTCATTAAATAAAATGTATTTTACTAATTTACTTCTTATTTTCGCCTGTTTTGAAGCAAAATTTACCAGTTTTGCTTCGTGTTGCAAGCGGACTTTTAAATTAATAATTTTAAATTTGCGCTATTGCCTTCATCAATTGTATTTTGTGATTATCTAGTAATCCCTGAGAAATGCACTCATTGTTCATGTCGGGATTATTAAAAATCTTAAATATTTTTGCGAAACAAAAGAATTATTAGATCTTTCTTTGCATACAACACACACACACACTCTGTAACCCATTTTTAGAAATTCTATGCAATTTAAACATATAACCGTGATATAAATCTTATAACCTAAGAAATCTCTTAGAACAAACTAACAAACACACAAACACCGGCGATTGTATGAATTAAGAACCGACTTGCGCTAGCAGAATTTAAGGGTTTACTGCGCAAAATCGTAAATTGCTAGGTTTAAACAAAGACCTACAAAATCATACTCCTGCGTTCCCATGCTGTAAAAGAAGATGGAAAGCAAAACGCATAGTGTACATGTTGGCCAAGAACGTATGTTCGCTTTTGCATAGGATCACCGTATCTAGGTTACTAAGAAATCTCTGGTGTTGTGCTAGTTTCGATTGCCTTATCAACTACCGCTACCAACCGCGTTCGGCGTAAAGTACTAGATAACAGGGCTACCAACTTGACTTTTTATCGAGTGGTTCCGTAGAAATGACCGCTACTGTACCTAAATCAATCAATTCATATTTTAACCAACCTTTTGATAATTTTTACTTCCCGAGCGTAAGCAAAGGAAGTATTGTAATCGAGTCCGTCGGCCGACTCTCTACTTTTACGTTTTCTCGATCTTTCATGACCCCTAGAAGACGAAGAAATAGGTCTCCCATTTCCGTCTGTCTGTCCGTCTGTCCGTCCGTCTGTCCGTCCGTCTGTCCGTCTGCCGTCCTGGATTTTTATTAGACAGATAATCTCCGAAAGTACTCGACCGATTGTTGTGAAATTTTGTACTTATATTAAGAATATCATGTAGATGGTAAAACGCTAACCAAAATTTCTCTAATCATCCCCACCACTAATGCGATGACGTCACTTCAAAATTGTACATAGTAAATGGGTTTTCAATTGTATAAAATAACATAGTCCTACACATGTAGTTTACAACTCTGAATCGACTTTTCACCCGAAACGTCCAGATTTTTGGAAAAAAAATCAAAATTATAAAACAACATTTTGAAATTTAATTTTTAATCTGCTAACCAGAATGCTTTGTAATGTTGCAGATGTTTTAAGGCTATAAAGAGCATCATAAATCTTTAGTCAAAAAATATTGCTTATCCCCTCCAAAAACTTGATGACGTCAGCTCAAAAGTTTGTGGAATAAATCATATCTAAAATGTACAAAATATGATGAGCCTGTACTTGTCATTTATCACTCCATTCATATTTTTTGGATTTGCATATACAGAGTGACTCAAAAAAATTAATGAATGCGTAAATATATTTTATTGATTTAATCAGGAACTACAAAACGGAATGCTCTAATATCTTGCAGATGTTTTAAGGTTATAAAGAGCATAATAAATGTTTAGTCAAAATATATTTGCTTATCCCCTCCAAAAACTTGATGACGTCAGCTCGAAAATTTGCCGAATAAATCATATCTAAAATGAACAAAATATGATCAGTCTGTACTTGTGATCTATCACTCTGTGGTGACCGAATTTAAATCAAACTTTTCGCGCTGAAATTAATTGACAACGGCGCGAAATCACATTTAAATAATTTTAATTTGAAAAAAAAAGAGTTCAATCACAAAAAGGAAATCCTTAAACATAGGCAACCAAATATGCATGGATGGTCTAATGCACGTAGCGCTTAGGAGTTAGTTGCATGATCTTTGGGTTAGATGGCAGCACGTAGCGCTAGGGTAATTTCAGTTAGAGGGTTGGTAGAAAAGCGGCATGGCGGTAGAATGTGTCATTCTGGTGTGTTTCGTGTAAGTGTAACCACGTGGTAAGAGCTAGGTTTAAATTAGTTGGTTTGGTAGTTAATAAAACGGGAGGAAGCCTTTGTTTAACGACGATCAAACGTATTTTTCATAATGATACAGTTGTCCCCAACCCGCGCGGTAAATTCTTGCGCCCCTTTAATCGAAAATTGCAGACTTCCGGTCGGACGCGAACACGTGTTGTGAATCTGTTTCTTTGTTTGTAAATTCACCAATCAAGCTAGTTTTTCTTAATAGTCAGCTAGTGCAAACACAATTTAACAATCAGGATTATTTAAATTAACCATTTGCTAGAAGATTTCATGAAATTCACTTAGTCAGGAAAAACACCTTATGTTTAATTACGAATAGGTCTCTGGATGCATATACGTAAGTGTTACATTATAACACTTCTAAATTCTTCACACAAGATTGCTAATAGTTCATTTACGGCAGTTAAACAAGTTCATTATACTGCGGACTGGCGGGGGGGTTATGATATTTTCTCCCCTTAGGTGGTTATCATCGTTATCACGATTAATTCATCGGGGCATGTTTCGCAACGCCAGATTGATTAATTAATTAAGGCATGCCCCCAACGCTACAGAAAATTCACGTTACCGAGACGCTTTTTCCTCGCAACGATTTGGGATTTACATCACCGAGACGCTTTTTCCCTCGGAGCGATGATTGGATATTTTTGTATTTGTTTATTATGTGTTTTGTTGGGGTAACCAGTTCGTAGTATTTTAACTTCTCAAAGTAAATTATTTTTGAAGTAACCAATCATTTAGATCATGATATAATTTGGCATAATGTAAACTCTTTGTTTGAACTGTTGATAAAGTGTGGCAAATATTAATCTCCTGTAAATTATGTTAACTCTGCAATTTTTCACATCGTACTATATTTCTTAATCTCACAATCTTAACCTCAGTAATTTTATTTGTTGTATAAATTTAATTGAACGTAAATTTCATGTTCTACAGTTCTAACCTCACATAACATTTCTATTTGTACAAGTTTATTTCACACCAGATCTTTCGTCTCATAAATCCTTGCTAAGTTTTGTTTTGTAAATACTTTGTTGATGAATGTTTTCTATCATATAAATTATTTGATGTCCAACTTTAATCCCACATAAGAATTATTTGTTGTTTAAGATTTCACAAGACTGTATGGCGAATTTAAATGTTGTTTATTGCTCTTTGAAACTTTAACACTTGTTCAGTTGTTGTTAACATCAGAGTTATAAGAGATTGAATGTTTTAAAATGGAATTGAGGTTAAATGACACAGAAAACGTGGCAGAAGCGAGGTTTGGTTCCTAGTCGAGCTGGCGAGATTTATCGCGCCACCTGTACAAGTCCACAGGTTTGGATAGATTCAGGGGGCGGCCGCCGACGTTGTGAATTTCTCGATTTGGCCCAATAGTCGAGATCTTTGCGGGTTGGACGACCGTAATGGCCTAGTTCCGCAGGGCAAAGTTCGTCATGGGATATGCGTGTGGGGTAGGCTTTGCGATAGATAGAATCATCGTCGCGGGGGGAGAACAGTTCCAGACCGGTAGCTCAGACTCCGCTTATGCTACAACGCTCCAGGGGTACTTTTGTTGTGCTCCTATTAACTGCCGTAACTTAAAAAGGGAAAAGAGATCGG